CTAGATCTTTACAGACATCCAGTAAGCAGCACCTCCTCCATCATACACTGCTTGTTTTTTCTCATCATCTACAGAGTATTCCCAACTAAGGAAGCACCTAATTATAAAGTCAGTCAGATAAAAAGAGATTATTTATATAGACAAAAGTCAAAACAAAATAAATAAAGGCAATATTATCACTTAAAATCCCTAATTATTTGTTAAGCATCTCTTAAATCAGATGTTATAATGGTTTTCCTCACCTACTCCCTAAACCTCACATTAATATAGGTGAGGTAAACCACAAACACCACCCCCTCCCCCCAAAGCAATGGTAAAAAAATATATCTCCCTTGAATTATAAATTTTTGTAACTTCAAGCAACCTATCAGGATAATCCAAAGACTGATTTCTAATCTTAAACCAATAGCTAAAAGGCAAGGCTATGTGAAATATATCAGCAGAGGCAGTACAACAGCAAATTTTAAAGAGGGGCTTTAGAGCTATTATAATGGACCACCTATAGTCATGGAATGATTGGGTCTTTATTAAGTTATGCCTACTGAGAAATTACCACAAAGCTACATCAGCTGGGAGATAAAACTGTACAAGCTGGGTGATAAAACTGTACGAGCAGGCCCCGAAGATTGTTGGAACTGGACAGTGTCACTTGATGTAACTGACAATAGCATGGAGTCCAAGTAAGTTAAAAAGCATCAATGATTGAAAATTAAACTGATGCCCCTGCACTCCCACTCCCAGTAGATCCCCTGCCTTGACATTACCTAATAAACATACATTGATACTCGTGTCATTTTCTGAACTCGTGTACTATATGGTCGTTCTTGAACTTTGGTGTCTTTATTGAACTACACAAAAAGGAAAACCGAAAAAAATGTATCTTTAAAGAAGTCTCTTTTTATATTGTAAAAGTGTGAGAAGGATGATGATATACATCGCATGAAAATCCAGCAATTTTTTATATCCTTAGAAGTTTTTTCCCCACCTCATTTTTTAAGATGCGGACGCCCGAGGAAACACATTTTCAATGTTACACCATTGAAACGCTACCCTGCGAGCAGAGGCTACATTTTGGCGGTATGAGCTGGCGTGCGAAAAGTAGCCTCTGCCGACAACCGTTCAATTTTCTATCGTGCATGCGCAAAATTCGTCACGCGATTCGCAAGCAACTGGTTCGTCAAATCTGCGTGAGTTTCGCGGGAAAACTACCTGCGAACTACTCTCCTCGAGCTTCTGTTTTGTTTTTCTGCTTCGCCCCTTCTGGTTTTAACTATTTTAGCCGCAAAATTTCCACGGATCGTCTTTTTTAGGAAAGTATTTTTATGCTATCAACTGTAGTAAGTTCTGTCTATTTTGCGAGAAGCACATTTTTCCGGCTTTAATATTACCTATTTATAGTTGTGCTCAAAGTGAAAAATGAAATTCGCCGACAACGCTACGCAGAAGTGATGTTTGAAATAAATTGGATGCTGTAGTCTCACGATTGTGTTTTAAACTAATGTTATGAATGAACATAGACAAAACAGTAGTCAAAAAAATTATTTATCGAAAAATTTTATTCGACAACCCATAATTTTATCCTTAAAAGCAATTCGCATAATACTAACTGGATTGTGGATCATTTCACGCAAGTAAAAGCTGCCGAAGACATCAAATGTCAACGCCAAAATCCGTCTCAAGTCGTATAAAACATCTATGAAACAACTATAAATACTTAAATTTCCATTTAAAAACGGAACTTCCTTGACCATTGATGTGCAAGTTGTACCTGAAAATTCTTTAAAAACTTTGCCGCCTTGGTTTCTTTCAGAACAGGAGAAGCTTTCCACCGTGAAGAAACCAACCAGGTTGAAGTCCTTGAGGGCGAATCAGTGTTCAGCCAAAAGCTTTTTTTCTACTTTTTCCACCAAAAGAAAACTGATCGATGATTCTTTTGAACATTCCGGTTCCCATTTGTGTCTTAAAACAGTGCATTTAGCCTTGCATTGAGAGGCGACACAACAAAAATCACCGCAGTATCCATTTTCTTTTCCTGGCAAACAAGAACTACCATAATGATAAATTAACGATCTTTACACGGTCCCGTAAGAAGCACCGGCAGCAGCTTGTTTTGGTATTCCGACAGCTTTAAAATACAGAGCTTATTCAAGTTGTTGACGACGCTCTTTTAAACACATAAACAGGGATGTTTGAAGTTGTTTTGAACTTTTCCTGTTGCTACGTTCGAGCTACGTTGATCCGCGTTCGTATGCGAGAATTTGGCGCGAAGGAATGCATGAAGGCGCAGTAATGGTCAGCGTTCATTCGCTGACGCAAGACTCACGCAATGCTCTAAACCGGTCAAGAACAAGAAAAAACCCGTTTTTTTTTAATTTATTCGTCCAGATTTCTGGACGGATTTGAACGGTTGTCGGCAGAGGCTACTTTTCGCACGCCAGCTCATACCGCGAAAATGTAGCCTCTGCTCGCAGGGTATTGAAACGCTTACCAGTGTCCGTTTTCTTGGCTTTTTCTAGTTTTTTTTCTATTAACTCTGTAAAGAGATTAAGGCAAAGCTACATACCGATCCTTTCTGCGGATTCTCCTCCTGGACTCTCTGCATAAAGCCCTAAAAATGTTGATGTTGATCAAAAAGTTTAGCTCACGGCACTTTACTCCAGTGATAGATTCTGTTTGACTATGTACAGGATAAAAACCATGTTTTCCCTTGTTTGTGGGGCGAAGAAGCAAAGAGAAAGGCAATGTGAACTTATCTCCATCATGAGCAATGAATGTTTCGACAAAATGATCGTAATTTATAGTGAAAAGTTGCAATACAATAAGCTATAATAATATCCTTGGTTATCGCCCGACGATTTGATTCAATACGACTTTATTATCATTTTGATACGTTTGACTCAAACAGGAAATCCTTTCAAAACCCTTGAAGATTATAGCCCATATTCTATAAAAAAAACCACTTGCTTCTTACATTTGTTTAGTTTTAATGAATTGTTTACACAATTTGATAGTGTAGTATTAACATCATGACGCTATGTTTCGTGACCTGTCCACGCCATTTTCGCAATTTTTGTAAACATCCCTGAGGTTTTCGACTTTTATCCCACTGATCATTTTTGCTAACTTATTAGATGACTCACTTCTATCACTAATTGAGAGACCCATACCATATTAACGTCATTTGTTTTTCTCGAGACTAAATTCTGCTGGGCTCTTTAGTTATGCGTCTCTAAAGACGCGCCGGTATGAGTTGTACCATCTGGTCGATCTCGGAAGTTCTTGATTTTTACGATGGAAATGCTCTTTCCTAGAATATATTGCAATTTTACTATATAGCATTAATAGATAAACACATACCTTCGGTCGTTTCATCGCAACGTCTCGACTTTTACCTCTTGAAACCACGAAACAATTTCGCTCGCTGAATCCATTCAAAGTTCCCGGGATAAATTTCTCGTGACGTCACGATGGCCAAGATCATCCGCCGCGCGATCCCTATAGGAGCGATTGACGAGTTTCATCCCCCCTGGTTCGGACTCAAACACTCGGAGTTATTCCTGTATTTAAACCGCTGACGGGTCAATGTACAGGAATGGCTCCGATCTGCATAAAGAGAGACTTGTCACATGATGGTGTGTGGTGGGGGAGGGGGGTGGGGGTAGGGGTGGGGTCTGGGCGTTGAGTTCATATCTCCAAACGCCCAAATGCGCTTTACAGTGTCAAATACATTATAATCTATACACTAAAACATGTAAAAAGGGGTTGTTTTTAAATGATCTGTTTTAAAGTTTTTGTGCCTGGTTGTTTTTCATCTGACAAAACTTGAACGAATCAATTTATCGAAACTAAAAATAACGTGCTTGCGTCCGTGACATATAAAGCCTAAATTTAAAAATTCTCACACGTAGCTTAGTGGACATTATCGATTGATTGATAAAGTCAACCTAAGCACTGAGGTGCCCGCCTCAGTGCATAGGATAGGGATGCGGGGTGAGGAGAATGAAAGAATTTTCTAGGGGGGTTCGACACTTGAACATGCTTTTTTAGGCTTGTATGCATTAGGTTCTGCCTTTACCGGTGGGCAAAGTCTATACCCGGTTTCAGACCAAAACGGCTCAATAACCCACTCGGACTTCCCGGTTTATGATAAATCGCTTTATTTTCTTTACTCTGATGAAAGCCTGTAGGACCTATAATTGAACTAGTTTGGTCCCTAGAGGTTAATTAAGTAAGAAAGGTCACATGACTCAACTAATACACAAATAATTTATATGGCAAACAGTAGACTCAGTGCAAAACTGGCCACAAGTTGATGAGTTGATGAATATTATTTTGCTCATGGTTAAATTTGCTTTAATAACCTCATTCTTAAACTCCAAAAGTTACACAAACGATTTATCTCATGCGAGGCTAGTGAGGCTGATTTTAATGTATAACACAGACTATTCGATTTAATAGGTTTTCTGCATTGTTCGATTAAACATCTCAGTTGTTGACATGAGGAGCTTTGCTCAAGAAAAAAAATCTCAGCAGGCGCCGTAAATTGATGCCCTGGTACGCGAAAGAAAGGTGTTTGCTTGGTGTCATAAAATTGATTAAGACCGGAACATAATAAGTAAACCAGATGCCAAGTATCCGCGAGAGACGCGTCATTTGAGCGAGGCAAGAGGCGAGGAGCCAGCATCCCACGCAAGGGTTTTTTGCAGCGTGACCTTTCTGTTTAAAATGAAAAAGATTTTGATCATTCGAAATGTATCTTCTTAAAAATAAAAGCTCGCTTCATCTACCCGTAGAAAGTAATTTACATAAATTTAGACTTACTGTTGGCCTGTAAAACCGATAAACAAATCCAGATCGGACTGCCGGTGATTTGGACGGGGCACGCCAGGCTTAAAAGACATTACGTTAAAGCATTTTATTTTTCCTTTGTCACTTTGATAAAATTTTTGAAGGAGCGACCCATATTTCATGTGGAAATATTAAATACTCGAGTGCCGGAGTCAGAAAATCCCTCTTGAGACATGACGTGTGGTGTGTGACAAAGCGCCGCAAAAGCTTGTTTCCAGTGCCGCTCAAATGAATGGACGGCAGCGTGCATGTACGAGTTTTTTTGTTTTTGAGGGTCAGGCAGCGATCATGCGGTGTAAACGAGTTAAATTCTTACTAATTAATTAATATTCTACTTTAGACTTTCAAAGTTCAAAAGTGCTGTGGTTTTGATTTCGAAACCATTTGAAGTGAAGGCGACCGTCGACGGTATGAGTCTTCGTTTCCCATTTCGAGTCTGTCGAGGGTTACAACCCCCAAAAGCATTGGCATGCACTCAAAAAAGAAATATGTGGAGTCCGTCCGACGGATTTCTCCAAAAATGAAATATTTAGGAGATTTCCTGACGAAAGACGTGGCAACGCGGGAACTTGAACCCGCCAAATCGGCCTATGTCGTAGTGGAATTCATGCCAGCTACTGTGTACGTCGCTTCCATGTCCGTTTGATCACTGGTCTTCTTCGCCAGAAAAGCATTCCACCGGATTCTGTTTTTCTTTAAGGTAGAGGTCAGACTAAAACGGACTTAAGTTACATATTAGTGATATTAGACTTGAGGTAAGTTTGTTTTTAGTCAAACTATTCCCAATACAGTGAGGTATTCCTGTTTTCTGGTCACTTCAATTTAAAGAAAACATTTAGCTTTATTATTCTGTTTCTCTTGGGTAGTCAGTTTATTTATGGGCTTTTGTTATCTAATGGCAAAATCTAATTTTTATCATTATTATTTTGTACTAACTGGTTTTGTTTCTCTTGGGTAGTCAGTTCATTTGTGGACTGTTGTTATCTGATGACAGGACCTAATTTTCATCATTTTCATTTTGTACTAACTGGTTCTGTTTCTCTTGGGTAGTCAGTTCATTTGTGGACTGTTGTTATCTGATGACAGGACCTAATTTTCATCATTTTCATTTTGTACTAACTGGCTCTGTTTCTCTTGGGTAGTCAGTTCATTTGTGGGCTGTTGTTATCTGATGACGGGACCTAATTTTCATCATTTTCATTTTGTACTAACTGGTTCTGTTTCTCTTGGGTAGTCAGTTCATTTGTGGACTGTTGTTATCTGATGACAGAACCTTATTTTCATCATTTTCATTTTGTACTAACTGGTTCTGTTTCTCTTGGGTAGTCAGTTCATTTGTGGACTGTTGTTATCTGATGACAGGACCTAATTTTCATCATTTTCATTTTGTACTAACTGGTTCTGTTTCTCTTGGGTAGTCAGTTCATTTGTGGACTGTTGTTATCTGATGACAGGACCTAATTTTCATCATTTTCATTTTGTACTAACTGGTTCTGTTTCTCTTGGGTAGTCAGTTCATTTGTGGACTGTTGTTATCTGATGACAGAACCTAATTTTCATCATAGTTTTCATTTTGTACTAACTGGTTCTGTTTCTCTTGGGTAGTCAGTTCATTTGTGGACTGTTGTTATCTGATGACAGGACCTAATTTTCATCATTTTCATTTTGTACTAACTGGTTCTGTTTCTCTTGGGTAGTCAGTTCATTTGTGGACTGTTGTTATCTGATGACGGGACCTAATTTTCATCATTTTCATTTTGTACTAACTGGTTGTTTCTCTTGGGTAGTCAGTTCATTTGTGGACTGTTGTTATCTGATGACAGAACCTTATTTTCATCATTTTCATTTTGTACTAACTGGTTCTGTTTCTCTTGGGTAGTCAGTTCATTTGTGGACTGTTGTTATCTGATGACAGGACCTAATTTTCATCATTTTCATTTTGTACTAACTGGCTCTGTTTCTCTTGGGTAGTCAGTTCATCTGTGGACTGTTGTTATCTAATGACAGAACCTAATTTTCATCATTTTCATTTTGTACTAACTGGTTCTGTTTCTCTTGGCTAGTCAGTTCATTTGTGGACTGTTGTTATCTGATGACAGGACCTAATTTTTATCATTTTCATTTTTTTACTAACTGGTTCTGTTTCTCTTGGGTGGTCAGTTCATTTATGGGCTATTGTTACCTGATGACGGATTATTATTATTGTTGTTATTGCTATTATTTTCAACATCATTATTGAGTGATTTAAAATTATTTTTCTTTGATACAGGGCTATAATTTGCAGAAGGTGATGGAGTGTACACGGTTTTGCTTTAGTTTTCTTTCAGAAATTCACATAGAATTTACTTTAGTTACAATTATTGCTTGGGTACTGAGATAAACTTTCAGCGACACAGTGTGACAAAATTGTTTTAACCCAAATTATGATGACACCATCAAAACGTTTTTATTATTAGTATTATTCGTTAATTTCAAACGATGCTAATATATGTATGTAAAAATGAAATTATCTTGCCGCTTGTTACAGAGCTATCTATACTGTAAAACGTCAAATGAAAAGTTATAACACTCACATGTCTATTAGTTCTTACAAATGATTTTGTCAATGAAAATCGACGACGAAAATTTCCCTTCTCTGCAGGCTTATTTAAGAAGCTTGAGTTGAAAAAAAATATGTTTGTAAAACACAACCGAGTCAATTATCGTACGTTAAATAAATAAGTCAAAGCATTACTTTAGCAAAATAGAACTTCC